CATGTACGTGACATACCGCGCAAGGAGCTAATGCATCCCCTTCTCCCCTCGCTATCAACGTCGTTGCACTGTGTGCATTTCCGTATGGAATAATGGATGCCAAACATACGCGGGGATGTTATAATGACGTCAATATTTAGAAATGCATGTTCTTCAGACGCAAGCAAATTTTTACAGTTTCGCATAGTTGCCGCATAAATGCGAAACGTTGTCGGATAAAACAGTTCTCCGTAGGCGAAATTTACGGTATATCCGATATCGTATTTCTTTAAAAATGTGAACTCGCTGAACTGTTATACCCTGTCGCCGCACATTGAACCGCAACTGAATCTTGTTACCTGGCAATTCGATTGCAATAACAATCTTTGATAAAGAGTTTTTCGATATCCGATTTTGCAATATCGTTACAAGCTAAAGATCTCAGTCTTCGAGTTTCTTTAAATATCAATTTTGAAGATGATATTCTAAAAATGAATAGAGAGACGAGATTTTGCTGCAGTACGGGTCTTAGAACCAATCGATTTGAAATATTAAATTAATCGACCGTTCCATGATAAATCGTATCAATATTGCTCTTGTTAACGTGATATGTATAATGATATAAATACGCTCTTGTCGAGTGGAAACGCTATAAGGACATGAGTTATTTTCATTCCTAGAAAATTTAACACCTGCGCATTTCTAAGATATCTTCCCGCAGAGATAGATAGATAGATAGAGAAGAAGAAAAAACTCTCCGAGCAATGATGAGAAAACCTGCAAGCGAGAGGAAATTTTTCTTGAATAAAGTAGAGATCTCAGGAAAAGAATTCTGAGCATTTTTTTCAACAATAATGTTCTCTCGGGATGAATAGCGGAATGTATGCAACATTTTCGCTCGCGTGAGTTTACAAACTGCATAGATTTGTTTTCAATGGCATTTCAAGCGAAAATAGCCTGAAATTAACTCTCGACTCGCCATTCATCGTTGCTGCATAGGAGCGAGGGCATGTATTCTGTTGGAATATAAAATAATGTGAATACGTTTGTGGAAAATACTATATAATGAAAATAAAAGGAAAAATAATATATTATAGATAGACGATTCTTGCATAAAAATAACATCGTATTATTTATGCTGTGTCCAATACTGGACATTCGATTGCATATTTTAATCATCCTTGTTGCAGATCAATTGGGATTTGAATTTAAACAAAAAAAAAATGCGATAATTATTGACGTTTAATATTTCAGCCGCTAATGTAATCTGTCGATCGACGAGAATCGCTTTCAAATGGTAGAAGTACACATTAACTGCAGAAACCAATACTCGCTTATTATGTGCTTGTCGCAGTCGCATAAGATCAAATACTTTGCAAAATAATTTGCGATTCCTTTTGGGATTATCCTTTTTCGGAACAGAGTGCTTCTACATTCCTTTTTATTGGCGATACTTTTTGATGTTAGCCAATCTCTTTTTTTTCGAAAGACTTTTTTTCTCTCAAGTTGTTGAAATGTCTGAAACGAAAATATTTCAAACGACGAGTGAATTTTACTTTGCGCACCCGCAATTATTTATCCTCTTTTTCGTAATAAAAGGAAAGAAGTCTCTTCCTCTCACGGTTACACGATTGCTTTCTCGTCGATCTCTTCGAGATCGACCTTTCCTTTGCAATACCCAAGTATCGATATCCCCGATAGTAGGTAGTAATAACAGCAATATTCTTACGTGGGTTATCAAGCGCACCGAAGAAAATTAACTGACGATCCAATCTTCTTCTATATTTACGACAATGTCTCACATACGTTTATAGGGGGGTGATGAAAAAATATTGCATGAATTGAAAAACGAGAAAATCTATACTAGTGTGTATTCATAGATGCAGTATTATTTAAATGGGTATGATCGATTCAATTCGCTTAGAGTCCGCTTTAGAAGGTTGAGGTCTGTAAATCACGAAAAAATTCGGGATAAAATCTCTATTTACAATTTCATGTGTATAATAAAATAATAGAGGAAAATAAAATACATACAAATATATTTTGAAAAACATATCGAAACACATATACGCATCAGGATTTTTTAATACTATAATATAAAATTAGAGATAGAATTCTATCTTGAATTCTTTTTATCGCGAATTTATAGATTACCTAAATCGGGCTTAGGATATAAATTTAGAGCGCGCACATTCGCCATTATACCGTTTTTCGATTAAGTTTTTTTCGTTCGATTCCATCGCATTTACGGAGGCTCGTTGCAGGATACACACACATGCTCCATCGCACTGTAATACATTTAATAATCTAGATAAAAGCGCTTCCTCGTCGCAGTGAAAATCGATCGAAACGTGCGAGCTGCAATGTCCGTGTTACTTCTATTCACATTGGACGCCGATGCCTACGTTTTAATGGTTTCCTTCCTTCGTCTTTACCTGTTTTCCCCATATGGTATATTGTCTCGGATCTTCAACATTCGTGAAAACGAACATTATCAGGGGACTACCGTTCGTGACGCTTCATTGACGTTTTTTGGAAATGCTCGATATAGGTGTCTGTTGCAAAATACCGAGCTTTGTCATCGTGCAATATCCTCAGATATTATCCGAGAATTAGTTCCTGCGATAAATTTGTCCGTACGATATTCGTGGTTATTGCCACCGGCAACAACCAGTCTCCCTCCTCTGTATTTTATTCTCGGCATAAAAAGCAAATTCCAGGATTTACGATCGCTGAGCACCTTCCAATATACGTCGCATCTGTTGGCGGCAGACGATCGAAATTTTTATCTCGCTATTCATTTTTATCGCGATTCCAAAAAAAAATGTCTGAATCTTCGAAAAGTGTACGTTTGGTTTAGAAAAACTCTTATGTACGTAAAAATATCTACACGACGCCTCATGGAACAGACTGGCACTCAGTTCTACGCTTAACTCTAGATATTGTTCTAGAATAGCGGCTTTTCTTCTAGAACACATAAAATGAAGAGCTCCCGCAATTTGCGGGGAACAATATTCAGACTAGCGGTTTCCGCCGTTAGTTCATCCTTTCGGGCTTTGCTTACGTGCTTTCTTGAAGCAATCATTCGCTTGGCTGAATAGGACGTGAACTTAGCATAATCGGCTTTGAGAAATCGGGTTGTTTGGTTCGAGAAGTGACTGAATCTTTAATCGAGATCATGATAATTTAAGCGATCACGCTCGAAATATTACGAATGCACTCGCACTTTCAGACAGAATCTTTAAAGCGTTTACGATTTAACGCATTAATCATCAATTACTTTGAATAAGTGCTTCTTCTCTTTAATATCGAAGGAATTATCTTTCGTTCCGAGTCTGATTAAAGAATCGTAATCTAGCTGGATTAAAAGGCAAAGAAAGAAAACTGGATTTACGGTAACTGTAGGAAAAGAGCGGTGAATTATGTATTCCGTTGAGAGTATAAGTTGTTCTCATTCAAGAGCAGAGTTGCTTTAAAAAATTAACTCGACATTTTCAAGCTGGCGGATTGAATTATACTTGTTTCGATATTCCCGCAAAAAAGTATCTCTGTTTTATTCGTTCGTTTTGGCGCGTTCATATTTCTTTTATCGTTTGTTATAAAGCAATTTTTTACAAGTATGACTGTAATATGTTCTATCCCGTCAAAAGCAATCGTACTAAATATCCTTATTTAAATTTAAAAAATATTCGCATGTTTTTTTCGGTTCTTACATATTTTATATATGCGTGAAAAAAATCTGTTATAGTCTGACGAGGACATCTCCGATCCAGAGATGCGAATAAGAAGTTAAGGTTTGTTGAGATATGTAATTGAATTTTGACGGTTATGAAGTTTCATCTCGTCTAATCGCAAGACAGATGATGCTAGAGCGAGTGTTTATCTTCCTCGTTTTTCTTTGCCGACTTTCAATGTCAAATTGATCGCAGTTGTTAGTCTGAAACTTGTGTCTTCCATTTTGCTATGAAACGTTCGTTTTTAACGACGTCATGTATGACGCATCTACGCTATACCTACTTTAATACACGCAGTGAACTCGTCTAGATAAACAAGAGGAAATGTGTTTTCCCAAGACCGGACATCGATCTAAGTGGGATTTCAGCACGAAAAGCATTTACACGCTAAAAGCGAGAGCGCACTCCAGGGAAGGGAAAAGATAACTCACGGAAGTCAGGATCTATCCTATTATCGGCATTATTGATTACTTAATGCGTCATGTATCATGACAATTCGCGCTTAAAAGAAACGATTAATATTGACGAATATCTCTTTATATCTCGTGCAATAGCTGGGCAAATTTTAAATGTTACATTGTTCTAAAATCTTTAAATTGATTTCAAATATTACACTGATATTTTGAAATATATATATATATATATATATATATATATATATATATATATATATGCGCAATCGCTCTTAGGATAATATTTTAAAAATATAGAAAAGAAAAGAGAGTAAAAATAAAACTCGACGTGGATAAATGTTGGAAATAAATATACTGCTATTTCTCTTTTTACTAAGAAGAATTAAGATATAAAGATATGCTTAATCTACTTATCTCTAAGCTCTAAAGCTTATAATTTTTATATTCATTTATGCGTTAAATCTTATGTATTAAGTTTAAAATTTTTGAAATTTTAAAGCTATGATTTTTTGGCAAATTATGTAATTTAAATAGTGCTAAAATAGCGGAGTAACTTTGTTAATATTACATTATTCTACATATTTAAATTTTTTCTATTTTTTTCTCTTTTTTTCTTCTTATCTATTTTTTTTATCTTTTTTTATTATATTTATATGATTTTTGGTAGACATGTCAGTTTTGAAAATAAATTATTTAGATTTCAATTATTAGGTTTATAATAGAAAATAAGTTTAAAACAATATATAAGTTAAAACAATATATATTATCATATAAATTTTTATTCTATATATTATCATGTAAATTTTTATTCTAAATTTTTAGCTAGTGCAGTTTAAATCTGAAAACGAAGAAACTTATTATTTTGTCTACTTACCGGTCGATAGATATCGCCATCAGAGTAAAGACGCTGGCACAGATAGTGAGGACCGCGATGAACTGACAGATCTTGCAGTAGAGCATACCGAACGGCCAATGGCTGTTGAGCATGTAGGTGTAGTTGAAGGTGACATTCAAAGTGGATACCATCGCGTCCGCGATGCTGAGATTTACTAGGAAATAGTTGGTGACGGTGCGCATCCGTCTATGCGCTAGCACGATCCATATCACTATCAGATTGCCACCGGTTGCCACTGCGATCATGCCGGCGAACAGGAGCGTCCAGATCATCTGCCGCCACCATGGCAGCACAAATTGATTGCGCGGTTCCAGTTCCGTGTAGTTAGTGCCATTGTGAATGTAGGTGTCATTGTCATACCATAGTGTCGTCACGTTCCAAGGGTATGACGTGGCATTGTATGTCAAGTACTCATCTGCAAAGTTCTGCATAGCGACGGAATCGCGAGAGAATTTCTCTCTCTCTCTCTTTCTTTCTCTTTCCCTTTCGTTTCGTCACTTACTTAAGCTGAACGCCACCACGAAACTTCTCTTCACTCTTCTTCGTTTTCCTACTGCAATTCAACTATCGCCATTTACTCATCTTTCCGTTTGTTTAGGGAAGCTTTTTAACTTCTTTTCAAGAAAACTGAATTTTCCACGCAACTTTTATATATCTCTCTCTCTTCGAATGTTTGCGTTGTGTCACTTTTCTTTCGCCCCTCGAGTTGTGTTGATTTCCCAGTGATTGGTGGTAACTTCTGACAGCAGTAGCTTGTAAGGAGACTCGGCATCGAATGTTGTCATTGAATGTTGTTATTGAATTTATTCGTCCGTTTCTTTCCAAAAGTATTAGTGTATTGCCAAGATACTCGAATGGTCTCGAAGTTTCTACGATGTTTGATTTAAAGGGCGAAGGTTTAAATAGACGAAATTATCGGATAGAGGATGAAGAAGACTATCGTTTTTCTTCGAATAACTTACATATTTTGGGCTACCGCGCATACACTAGTTGATCAACTCAAGCGGGCCTTCAATGCCAAGACTTGTCCTATTCTCTCGTGGTGCTATTATAATCGAGACAAGATACAAATTCTTCGGTGTGACGTCGTCGCAGAGGAATGTGTCCTAAGTCAAAGAACATTCATCGATTGGCTTCTCCTCGTTGTGGCAGAGATATTCGCTCCTCTGGTATCGTCGATCCTCTCGTCTCGTTTATTCAAGATCGATCTTCCGTGAAGGCTGCCGAGGAAATACGAGCTTTTAATCTCTTATCGATTTTTCCGTCCGGTCGATCTTAATTGGAAATCGCGCAGAGAACGACCGCGCGGCGAGTCGAAAGAATTGATTCATGAGAGAGACGAGCTCGTATCGTGCGCGGCCTTCGCGGCTGCTCCGATTACGGAAACTGTTAATTCGAAGCCATTTTCCCGTTTATCGACTTCGTCGTTAATATTTGTGCCCTCGTGTAACGAATCATCTCGTTTAGTTCCGGCAGCGATTCCGATTGCGACGGTAAGGTCGTCGACAATAATATTGTGATAGCACCGCGTATGTCTTTGTCTGTGTTAGAGACTGCGAGATGATAAGCGGCGCGATCCGGATAATTCCGAATTAGATCTCACTTCCACTCGCGTTTCATGCACAATAGCCACTTTCCGACCATGTCCCGGATGTCCATGGGATGAAATTTCATTATCTTCGCGACTTATTCATCGTTAGAATAATAAATATGCTTTTTCTCGCTGATACCTGTCGTAATTTGTTCTTCTTAAGGAAGCGTAATCGTTGATTTTATATTAGCTCGCTTTTTTTCCACGGTAACGAGGCGAGAGATCGGGTGGTTGTCGTTAATTATTACGCTAATTTCTCAGCTGGAAGAAAGATCCGACGAATCTCCGGCTTTCGAAAGAGTTTCACGTTGAATCTTATAGCGCACCGTCGTTTCAGCCGTGCATTATACCGTCTTTCGATCCCCTTTTAACGATTGTTAAAGCGGTCGTTGATGTTTCATCGTGAAATTCGCTCGCCGTTTTACGACGAGATGGTTTTTTGCTCGTCAATTCCTCGCCGAGGACGATGAATATCGCTCCTGAAATTCACGAGCGTGATACTCGATGATGTATGTTCCATACGTTTTGTTCCGGAAAGAGAAGTTTTGCCCTCGGTTTGTCATACGATGCTGTGCGTCTAATGGAGCCGTGATTTTGCGATGATTCCCGTCAAACTTTCGTTCTGCTTCGCTCGATCATAACTCGACGTTTTTTTTCGTTCCTCGACATTGTACCGCGCATCGTATTAATCGATTCGTATCAAGTATATTCCCGTTACGTTTCACGCAAATGGAAGGATTATACCCTGCATTCCAGCCTCTTTGTCGCGAGTTTGCGGTTGATTACACGAGAGAGCAACTGTCGTTCACACATCGTTGATAAAATCCTCACACATTCGCGTTATCGTTAATACTCTCTTCACGAATACTAATAACTCTCTATCACGCCTTCAATTAGATGTCAATCGGAACTAAATCGTTTAAAAACGTTTTCTGGGTGCTTTCACGACACTTTCAATTCAGATCCGCTCTTCGGCGCTGCATTACGTTGGTTGCTATTCTCATCGTCCGACACGCTTGGAATTTTAAAGTACGATAGTCTCACACATTCTTCTTCATTACAACGACAACACTGTCGCTCACAATCCTCTGTTCGATGTTATTAGAATGAGCAAGAATCTCATTCTCGCGTATCTCGCGCGAACGCTCCCAGGTATCTCCTTAATTTTCAATTTGACTTACGGATTTCCCTTTTTTCGTAGCGCACATTTATCGCGGGCAAAGTGGAAATTGTTCCTTCATAGCCAAGAGCATTTTAACGAGGTAAGATAAAGGAAAGAGGAAGTGGCGAATCGTGGCATCGCGTTCTCAGGAAGTTCCCCCAAGATTCGCGTCCGGAAGAAAGTTCGTCTGGTTTGCTTCACGATCGATGCAAAAGTTCCTCGAGAACACTACGCGTAACTGGTTCCGAGATATAATTTGTGAAACTCAGAAGGAGGTTCAAGTTTTTGAGGACATCCGACGAAGAGTTCTACGCGAGGACTACGCTTCCTTGAAGACGAGGAGACCGATGAGTTTTTTCTTTGTCTGCTGACTAAAGTCGGAAAAATATTTCTCGTAGGCCGAGCATTTTCAGAGAAATAAGAATTTGCTTATTTTGAGCACATCGGAGAATCCTCGCCGAAGAATTGGCTCTGTCCTTTTTCGTCTCACCAGGATTCCGCATTTGTTGTCCGTGTTTTTATGCGTGTTTTTATGTTCACGAATTCTTCGCGAGCTGTTGGAAGATCATTGCGGTTTCATCCACGCCACCATCTGGAAAATATATTACGACATCGGAATTACTTTTCAAGTTCGAATAAAGTGCGCGCATGCATTCGAATAAACTGCGTGCAAAATCATCGCGCAATTTTTTTTCTCGATTCTCGCACCTGGTGAAACGTGCTCAGGTATAAATAACTGTAAGAACAAAATGAAATATTTCATTTTGTTTTCAATTAAATTTTATTCTGTCTTGCTTGAGTCAACAATAAAAAGAAAACAAATAAAAAGAAAGCTACGGATGGAGAAGAACGCGGTCGTCTAAAAAGACGCGTAAAAAAAGAGGACAAATGTGTGATTATGAGCCGTTGAAATTTCTCGAAGGAATTTAATTATAAAATTAGTGGGCTGCGTGAAACACGATCGTCTCGAATAAGACGCTCAAGGATTGCAAAGTACGTCGAGAGCATCTTATGTACCTTCGAGTAATTATTCTGCGAGATTAATACATCCTTTCCCTTTTTCTCTTGTTAATTAATTGTTGACGTTTCACTGATGTTCCATCAAAATGCAATCATCGACGAACTATTATTTTGTCGAATAATCCACGTAAAACAACCAACTCCGTCATGTCACACATACCGTTTTGAAAACATTATTTTACCTTCGCATATATCACGGATAATACTCGTTTTATTTTTTTTCATGTCTACAGTGAGATATCGTTTGCTTAATTGTGCTGTAATTATGTTATTTTTTTCTACTATTCGCGTTATCTAAGCTGTATGCATACTGTAATTTAGGTATATTACTGGTAAAGAAAGATAACAACAATCATTCTGTTGTACTCTTTTGTAAAATAACATATAACTAATGTTTGAGGAAAGAATAGTTTTTTTTAAGTATATAATGTTTGCACTATTCTTTTTATATCCTATTAGAATCGGTAGTTTGTGATAATGCATGTTAGGAAAAATAAACATGAAACACAATATAACAAAATCGAGTTTTCTTTGCCGCGCGATATCCTGTAAAATGATCTTAAAGAATTTATTCACATTTGCTTACGAAATGTGTTTTCTGCATTTCATTGATAGTTGGGAGCGTTCTTGAAAAATTAAAAAAAATTAAATTTAAAATTTAATACTACATAAAATGATAAAATTATGATAAAAATTCAAAAAGATAAATAATTAATAAATTAAAAAATTGTAAGTTTTCCAAATTTTTTACGAAAAACGAAATGATATTTTTTTTAAATTCAATATTATATGTGTTAAAAATAAAAATAATTAATACATTCTTTAAGACATCTTGAAATAAGAAAAAAATAACGTTTAAAAGCTTTTAAACAATAAAGATTTTGAAGGCAAGAATCATTTTATGCAAAATTATTATATATATTAAAAAATTTTATTTTGCGTTCATTAAAAAAGCATAAATATATTTAAATAAATATATATATATATATATATCTATATATTTATTTATTTATTATTTTTTTACTTTTAATTTTATATAAAATTATTATTGTTATGCTATCTTTTATCACTATTATATAACTCTATATTTGCAGCATAAAAGAAACAAACTACGCTTTTCAATTTATTGTAAATGGTTTTTATTAAATACATGCTTGATTAAATAAATTCTCTTTGTTTTGATAAATGCAAAATAAATTTCTTTAACAAATATTTTTGCGTGAAACATAGTTGATGTAAACATTGCACAATATTTTGTACAAAAAAGGATATGAATTTTTCGAAATATACAGCGAAAATGTCAATGAAGGCCATCATTTTTTGCATGTTCCCGATTTTTGTCATCATATATCTTTGCAATTAAGTCTTAAATTAAAACTCAACTAAAGTAAACTCTATTTAAAATTAATCAAAGAATGTGGTTTTGTTAATATTTTATTTCTACAAAGCTTAATTTACGAAAAACCCCTTATTTCCAATCACTTATAATTCGAAAATTATTAGTGCCTCAATATTTTCGTTGAAAAATCATCTTCAGATGATCTCAGGAATCTGTCTTTGAAAGATGACTGGGAAGATAACTGGGACACCTTGTATGTAAAAGTGTGCGAATATTTTAGTCAAAACTCTTGAGTTTAAAATTTAACAAATTATTTTTCCTCTTAACAGATCTTAAAGAGTATCATAAGCATGTTTTAATTAAAATGCAGGGACAATCGCTAAAAAATATTAATATATACACACACACACACACGAACAAAAATTTTTAAGACTTATATGATTTACTTATATTTATATTTGTTTTAAAAGAAAAATTATTTAATTCATTAGTTTAAAAAAATGTTAACGTTAAATTGTTTTTAATGTTCTCTCTTTCTGCAAAAATATAATATATGTATATATACTGCTCACACATTATATATATATATATATATACATACATATATGTGTGTATATATTATTAACTAAAATATAATTTAATTCATTGGTATGATACGTACACAATAACAGAGTTATATTTTAGATCTGAGTTTTTTTATTCATTTATTACTGTTTTTTATAGCACTTATTCGTGCAAATATAGCTATTGTTCATACACCAGTAGAATTTGATAATCGAGCGATATTCTCGATGTTAATCACATAAACATTTTATATTGGAAAAACGAACAACAAAATTAACACGAAATAAAATCAACTCAGTGAGCGTGAACAAATTAATCGCGATATTGCCGCGAGCTTTTTGATTGTTAATAAATAAAATATACGTTTTAGAATAATTTTATTTTTGCATTTTAATATAAAAATATAAAAATAATATAAGAATAAATATATAAATATACACACACATAATATTTAAGGAATTTGAAAGTGACATACTTTAGAAAATTATTCATGTAAAGTATTTAATATTAATAATTAATTTAATCTTAAATTAATTATTAATAAATACTTTATATGTATTATTTTTTGTTACTTTAAAGTCGCTTGATTTTGCGATATATAATTTCTTTCAATTCGACAAATGTCGAGCAAAATATATTTAAATTGGTAAAAAATTCAAAACGTGAGAATAAATATGTATTTGATTTCCAATTGAAGAAACTTCAAGATCATTATAAAAACATATTATTAATTGCTTATAAAAATTGCAATAAAATTAATAATTAATAATTTTTATTGTTTCCATTTTTATTTGAAATGTTTAAATCGTACAAAATGCGCGCTTCAATAAATAGTTGTTATTTTGATACACTTATAATTAAATTGTAGGAATTAATTAATTGCGTGAGTTAATAATCTCTTATTCATAGAGAATAATTATAATAATAATCCTATTTCGAAAGATAAATGCTTACGAATATTAGCAAAGATGCCAAAGGCGATCATTCTTAATTAGATATTATATTTGCACGACTAATTAGCTTTCATGATTGAAGATTTATATTAAGCCAACGGCTGTTTTTACGGCAAAGCAAATTATTTGATGGTATTTATTTATACATCTTAAATTGAAGTCGCGAAATGACGAATTATTTTGGATATTGCTTTACAACAACTTCATTGTTATGCATCATAGTCGTGTTAAATTATATTTTATTTTAATGTGTATATTGCACACACACATATATACACATACATTATATAGAATTTAAATCAATTTCTGTTTATTTAATATCAATTTTTATTTTAAGATTCTTAATTTTAATCTCAATGAAGTCTTTCTGTATGAGTCTTTCGATAACGACTTGACCTCGTTTTCCGTGTATATGTTAACATTTGTAGCAAGTGTAAGAATTATTACCGATGGAACGATAATCTCGAGGAAAAATCGTATGTAATATCTGATATAAGAAAATAGTAAGGAACAAAATAAAATTTAGTAAGGAAAAAAAAGAAACAACCCTTTCTTTTTTTTCCTTACTAAAGAGAATCAAAATAATAATAAACTTTATAAATAGTTCTATCGCAATTGTGATATAACTGCGAGGTTAACAAGAAAGTTATGGAAACACTTTTTTCGTTATACACACTACGTACGTTTGAATAACATAGTCATATTACATCAAGCAAACACCAAGTAAATGATATCACATCGTTGTGTTGACAATAATTATTATTTTAAGTCACAATGTAATAGAAACGGAGTTTACGTGGCTTGTATGATAAATATAGATAATGGATTAAATAAAGTGACGATGCATCAAAGATAATTGATTTACAAAGATTACATTTTTTGTGTTATTTTACTTGCTCTCTGCCATTAATTTTTAAACGATATATACGTACATCAACGCGCGTCCCTCAAAGATTTATTTACATCCCTTTCTATACGTTTCACAATTGTGTATCTTAATGCTTCGCATTTTGCATAATCTCTGGTATTAATCGAGATTTATTGCCGAGATGCCAAACGCATCTATTCTGCTGTCGCTTTGTTTCCACAATACACGAATTCAATAACGCGAATAATTCCTCGGAAAGTTCTTAAACTATGCGTGCATACAACGGTCATATTGCGCTATGTGTTCCGCGTGAGTATCCTCTGATTGTATATATGCTGTTTTGCGGTAAGGGATGAATAGCGGAGCGAAATGGAGCAATTAACGCTTGAATATTGTTCCTGAATCTGAAAATAGCTAACGATCGATATAAGGGCGGAGAGGCGGAGAGAGAAAGAGAGAACGTTCGGTTCGCGAAGGGCGTGACGTTTGTGGTATTCGTGACGATGTATGTAATTTACGTTTTCGTAACACATTACTAGCCGCAAGGAGACCTTTCTCTCTCTCTCTCTCTCTCCTGCTCATGCTCCTTCTCTTGGCTTTAGGCGCTTGTGAACTATTAGCTCGGATTAAAATAGGATTGTGTCGTGGACCATAAAATTACACGGTTTCCCTAATTTGTTGAACCGGATTTGTACGAAAATTCAGCTAACAGAAGATTATCCTCCTTTATGAGGTAAAATTGCCGCAGTATTACATATTCTGAAAAAAGATTGCTTTTAATTATTCCGATGTCTTTTTGAAATGCATAGTATGCAACTTAAATTAATTAACGGATTTTGAGTTTTTGCGCGCTAAAAATTCAGAATGCTAAATTGATCATTCGATTGAATGATCGGAAGCTGGATCATATTATTTTTTGACTTCCTTTCGATTGTGCATCGCAGTTTTCTGCCTTTTATTATCGATAGAAAATTCATGCAGAACTTCATTGCAAATGACGTGACACATATTTTCGAACGTATATCCCGGACATATGTCGATGTAGCAAAAATGTTTTGCTGATTGTTGTAATTGTAAAATTATAAATATTAGCGAGAAAGAATGCCGGTGTGAAAATAACTTTCATTAGGATTTTTGCTGTATTAAAGTAGAAAGGACCCATAGAACTCGAATAGATTACGAACGGAATTTCCTGTCCTCTCGATGCGGTACCTGTGAAGTATGTAAATTGCAAATCACTCTATACCGCGCACACAACTGCAGATGCCGTCCTTCAGAGTTTCTTTCGCTCTTCTTGCTTCCGAGAAGGAACCAATATTCCGACTGCAATCGGACGAATAAGCGTATTCTGCTATTCTCATGGAATCAACTGTTCACTGGAGATAGGATCTCGTGCACTTAGATGGTCCTTTCCCCTTGGAGAGAAGAATCTTTATTCCGATCGTAATTTTTATCGGGCCCTCGCCGCAAGTTACATTGTTACATGTACAGTTCTTATCGAAAATACACTGTTTCAAGATTTCTCATTCTTTTTTTTTTTTTTTTAGTCATTTTTGAAACTCTGAAGACACGGACGAGAAAAGGATAAAATGAAAAAATACGCGCGAATATAGATATTATGAGAATTGATATATTTACAGAGCAAATTTAAATTCTTCTTATGCTTTTTTTATTTAACGATAAACCCAGCGTATAAAAATATTGATGTAATCCGATTAAATGAATGAATAATATTTTAAGAATGTTTTTTTTCTTAGACTACAAATATGTGGCTCGTGAAGATTCCATGAATTTTTATATTTAGGAAAAATATCACAAATTTTGAGAGTGATTGAAAGTTATCCTGTGGTAAATCTGAGATAATTTCAAAGACTGAATCATTTCTTGCTCCAATCCATTTGTTCCTTCAGCCTTTTGTGTCTTTGATATTTTCTGAAAAACTGAAATTTATATTCGATTTTTACGCGATTATCATTGCTGAATCGTTATAGCACAGTCCTTTGTGAGACAGTTATGAGGTGCTTTAAATTCCGCGTACGTGCAATATTTATCAAGCTTTCACTAGATTGCCAATGAAATATTGCCGCGATTTCTTCATTTTTTCATCTTGCTATAAAGATAGGAACGGCGAACGTTGCTCGTATATATAATTTGATATTTTCAACTAGATTCATCTCACAATCTTCTGCTATGTACATGCTAGCTGGCTCGTGTAAAAATGCAAATTTAATGAAAATTGCTCGTTATAGCTTGCGAGCCGCAGACTTAATAATCTGCCTCGCAGTAGTGAGAATAAAAGGGCTCCACCAAATAAGAGCACCTATCTCGGATGATCCATATCGCTGTTATCTAATTATTATAATAGAAAGAAATACGCTTTTTCCAAAACAGAGATGAAATAATATGATGCAAAGTATTCTTCATACATGCAAAATTCTGGTTGACATCTATGTTAATTCACGACTTTCGTAAAGTGAGAATAGAATACGTCTCTCGCTAGATGAGTTAACGAAAATAGATCGTTTTACATTTCCGACAGACGCGAAACCGCGAACGGAACGACGTAACGAAATCGTATTCCTCTTATGTAGGCGGCGGAACAAAGTCAAGCGCTCGAAAATGCAGTAACTTTCCTCCAAACGGCATAGGGCATGTGAAATATACAGCTATTCTTGCAACGACAACAGCACTCCGAGTACCGAGGTTATCGAGAAGTCGGCGGACCATTTGTTAAACTTTACCTACGCGCGCGGTACATTTACTTTGTCCTTCTCCCCTTTTTTCTTTATCACTTGCGCCAACTTGACATTGCATTTAGTTTGCGACCGCCTCGTTGCATTCATTTTCCATTTACAAGATAACAGTAACAAATTCATTAAATTATAAACGCTGTTTCCCTTACAGTATACTTATTTAAAAGACTGATTTTTTTCGATGGAATAAAATTATAGTTTACGATAGAACAAATTTTTTTATATTATATAAATATTTTATATTATTATTTCAGTTTTAATGATTATTTATATTATGAAAGTGACAATTTTTCTTTTATTCTTTTATCAATTTAATAAAGACAAAGATTTACACAATATCCGTGGAACAAAGAACGTCATTCATGATTTTCGTAATCTTTCAAGATAAGAGAAGACAATTCTGTAAAGCTTAGCAAGAGCATTCTGTTTGAAGTCTCCCGGGCATTTCGGATTACAAAGACGTGTGTGTTATAATAAAACGAGCGTTATAGCCAGACAAGTATACGCGTTAACAATAGATGCTACTTTGCTCGATGGAAAGTCTATCCGTCCATCTAGATAGCTCCGATTCCGTCCATCGTCGCTTTTCTTCCAACGTCCTTCTCTTGTTCGCTTGAAAACGAGACTAATAGCCTGGGGAAAGCGCTTTCCGATCTTAGAGATTCTTCTCGAGAGAAATCTTACCTCGAACGCGTTCGTTATGAATACGATGGCGTTTCGCGAGCACTTCCAACTATCGAAGCCGCAAGCGATCGATATGTCGCCGCTCGAAACCGCGACAAGTTGCCCAGGCACTTGCCAAATCCTCTCCCCTGCTTCCGTTCGCATTCTTCGCTGTGGAATTGAAATTCTCGGGGTGTCGGAAACGGGGTGCGATCAAGCGTCGAACGCCACAGAAATGCAGAAAGTATCTAAAGATTTGCTCATAATACACGAGCGTTCCGTCTTTTATCTTTGAGAACGGATACGGAAACGAGGAATGTCGCTGAAAAAGAAAGAATGCGCGTGTAAGAAAGGAAGTTATATATATTGCGTTGCAATGTGGGTTTATTTCTCTCTCTGTCGTACTAGATTTTAAATTTAGCGTTACTTACTGAAACGTGAGGGAAAGGCTGGAAAGCACGCGAAGTGAGAATTGTTGCGCGAGAAAAGATAGTAAGAATACGCCGTCTTGCAATTTCCTCATGTTTAACGGAGAAGAAAAAAACATACGATACGATACGAAAGCGAGAAAGAGAACGAAAAGAAGAGACGAAGAAGAGAAAAAGCAATGGGCCGTAAATCTCCCGACTAATCTTGAAGAATTAGATACATTCGAGATAGAAGCTAGATGGCAAAAAACTCAAAGTCTGATATATCGCTGTTTTTTTTTCTTAATAATTCAAGGCTTAATAATTCTTGGCCTTCTCTGTTTTTCCAACATTCGATCACGTAATTCAAGAATCTGACATTGTAACAAACGACACTCTTCGCGGTTTGTCGCTTCTAATATATACAGTTGAAAGATAGCGCGCCAAACATTGTATGTACATTGAAACAAACTATGCACAGTCCGACGAATTACATGTCCTACTTCGATACAACTTGAATTTGCAGTGAGCGCCATTCTCGTTTCGTACTCTATTCCCGTCCGCTTGTTACGTCAATCTCACTTTTCGACCGCTACCTTCTCCATCACCCTTCCTTAGAGGACCGGTAACAATCCGGACGAAAATAGTATAATGGCGAATACACACCTCACCACTAGAACTGACTTTTCCGTTTTATTGTTCGTGTGCACGTTTTCCTCTCCGCTGAACAGAGAGATATTCTCAAGTCATGCTATTATAATGACATGCGGATTTAAAGTTCCTTAAAGCGGAATAAACGTTTTGTTTGAAAGCCGTTTCCGTTTTCACCTTAAAATCTATTATTAAGATTACGCTATTATCTTCACATTTTACGCATATTTAATATGCAAAAATTCGTCAACGTACAGCATATCTTTTAATCCTCCTGAAGACATATATCGCTGACATTATTCGGCAAAAGCGAAAGAAGCTATAGCAAATTGCGAGCGTAATACAGTTTATTGTGATACGTCCTAAAACATATATTAAAAGAGGTTTTATTTTATATAAATTTTATATAAAAATTTTGTATATATTAGTTTTCCAAAGAATTAAATGTAACGCGCATGTATTATTACATATAAACTACGAATAAGTGTTTGCAAAAATATTTTTCAAATTTTCTTTTCGTAAAACACCTCATTTTTTCGAGGATTACCCGTTAAATTACTTTTATTCATGAAAAATTCTTGTATTTTAATGATAGCAATAGGACTGCACTCATACTCTATTTCGGTCCGATGATTACGCGCGATGCCAGGAAAACGTGTAATTTCGCGATTTAACATATAAATTGGAATTAGTACAGAAAGCAGTGCATTGATATCTCTACCGGATGCGAGATGAATGGACCGATTGACAATTGGGCTTTCTATTGATCGAATAATTTAATATAATCTGCTTCATGAAACTACATGATTCTGCAATATTCCATCGCGGTACATTTAAATACACAATATATTCGAAAACTACGCTTTGAAGACTTATTTGAAGCGAAATTAGGTTGCTGCAGTGCTGGTGACACTTGAGACAGCGTTCACTGACTTAATACCGGCAGGATTACGTCGAGAAGAATTTTAAGCGACCAGCTTGCAAACATTAATATTTTATAGCGTTCTTGTACAAACATCTAACGCAGAATTCAAGCAGCTGAGAAAAATTTCATTAATTTGCGGAAAGTGTTATACAAGTGAGGACGCGAAAGAAGCAATATGCTCGTCTTTCAAAAAAAGTTAGAGGAAAGATATCATAAAATCGATATATCTCATTTGATTTTTAAGTTCTAAAGATATTTAGATTATTAATTATCAAAAAAAATTCACAACAAGTAACTTTTAAATTCTAAGAACAACTCGATGCAAGTTAATTTTCTATATAATATATACAGGTATCAGGGCAATTTTTTCTCAAAAAAAAGCTCTTGTAGCTTACCTCGAGAGCTTTTCAAAACACTAAAATAATAAAGTATTTTTTCATCGAGTACTTTTCGAGTTATTAGACTTGAAATAATTTCTTAATATTTATATAAACCATAAAATATCATTTTTTGATTATCTTACCTTAATACTTTTATGTATAAAATAATGAGAGGAATTAATTGGTGTAAAGAAAACACATAATTGTTTCGAAAAAAAATATGTAATTGTTAATTGCAAATTACATATTTTTTCTTCGAAACAATTGTGTTTTCAATATTTTACTAGATATTTTATGGTTTATGTAAAATTAAGAAATTATTTCAAGCCTCATAACTCGAAAAGTACTCCATAAAAAAATACTTTTACAGTGTTTTGAAAAGCTCTCGAGATAAGCTACAAGAGTTTTTTTATTGGGAAGAGATTGCCCTGACATCTTGTATAAACGAATAAATAAACTATGAATAACTTGTGACGAGTAAATTGCTAAGAATCAGATCTGATAAAGTATAGCACATACAATTGTTGAGAAATGTCAAATTGCTCTTCCTCTCACGAATGCTGTATATTTTTTTTTTCGTGTCCTCAACGATTTAGATTTTTATGGCATGGTTCCTCTCCCGACGTGGCAAATGCACACAGATCGGGGTCCGGTCGCGTTGTATATCCATACAACGTATGTTAATACGAAACGGGGGATGTATAACGAGATGCGGCACGCTCTTAATACGATTAGCCCCGCGGTAATGGAGTACGCGAGAGCCGCTAGGTTGTTGGCGGAGTGGCGCCTGATCGTGTTATCAAGACACTGTCAATACTTCCCGAAGTAGTCGAAGTGCCACGAAAGCCGTGTCGCAAAGAGAAGACGTTTCTCTGACGCATCCCATCAGCATCAGGAATATATGTAAGTTATTATAGCATGCACGGCATCCAACATAATATCCCGTGTTAGGATATTACATTTAAACTCGGCAATATAATAATATAATGATTCCGTTAATTTAGCGTTCTTCTTATGAGAGATTAAATTCGCAAGCATGGCATAATTATATAATATGTTAATTTATTACTAATTTGTTACTTTCCAGAATTTGTTGCTTCTATCAATTAATAGAAAATTTATATTAAAGATTGTGATGCTTAATTGACATTACGTTAGTATCTGCTTCTAAAAAAATACCTATAGCGAATAATAAATAAAAAAAGTATCAGTCATTAGACAACATTACTATTTAATTGTTCAATAATTATCAGACATTATTGCTATTTAATTATTTAAAGATTAATTAAAATAATACTACAAAAAAATAGTACAAACTAATATTACAAACAGATTTTAAAGATATTACGTTTTTATAAAGGTGGTAAATTATAATCGTATAAATCAGTTAAAAAGAAGAACAGGATCAAGAGTTTGATAAAATAATTTCTTGAATTAATTGGTACTGAAATATCCGTTTCGAATTTATTGTTCGATCGAAATAAGCTTAAAAATTAAGAATATTTAAAAGTAAATTATATCTCGAAATGAGTTGCCTCTCGAGCTATATTAATATTGAATTTATTATTCATCATTTAACTTAAAAAAAAAAGATCAAACGTTGTGCTATAGCTAATCTTTATAAAAAATATATTTAACAACTAAATTATTATCTTTCTTATTTACTTTCTTTTAATTTTACTAAATGTTTACTGAATTCCTAAGTAAATAATTAGTACAGAAATAAGCGAATAATTAATTTTACAAATATTATATAATAAATTAATGGAATTATAAATTACTCATCCCATAGTTCCGCCAATAGCTGTCCCGGATCTTCTTCTCTTGTTTAATCTCTAGCATTCGTCCTTTATGATATCCACTCACAAAAATACGGTTAATTGCGATTATACGCATATTAACTATCAGAATACGATGATACTTTACATGGCATTCCTTTATACACTATATTTTATAACATATATTATATACATATATTAAAATATATAGGATTAATAATAATAATGTTAATTAATTAAATGTAGTGACGCTCAAATTATTAACTTTCATAATCGCAATTTTAAATATATTGTATTAATGACTGGGAAATTGGAAAATTACATGAGTAATTTTATTCTGGATCGCGTAATAATGATCGAGCGTTAATATAATTCCGAAAGTTAATTAATTAATTATTTTGATTGATAATTGTTAATTTCAATAGACACAGAGAATGTGATTTTATTTTCAGAAATAACACGACGAAATACAGAACGTCTCAGCACATTTTTTGCTTACTCGAGTCTCGCCGCTTGAATGACAACAATAGCACGCTACTGTTGTCATTCACAGTGAGACTGTGCTGAACAAGCAAAAAACATCTTGCGCCGAGGTATTCCGTAATATTATTCGTGTAATATTTCTCGTGATCATTGTCTACAGTTATTAAAATTACACAGTTTAACAAAACTTAAAAAAAAATAACTTTTTTAATATGAGAAAAAGGATGATTTCCTGCAATTTTATTAAGACAATTTTATTAATACATTTTATAGTTATACTATATGATATTTTATCAATCAAAATTGAGCGATTAAAATTAAATATTATTAGAAATATTATTAGAACTATTAATCCTCAAAAATGTTTTTACTAAATTTAATAGATTAATGGCTTAGTTAATAATTTTATCAAAATGATATTCACTTTTTTATGTTTTTTTTTTGTTGAATTATATTGTAAATCCATGCGATTATTTACGTTTTTTCGGATTATAGTGTCCCAATTATATTTTATCTCTCTTAATATCTCGTACATGCAATATTAGAATAAACTTAATGATTTGTAGGCGTATTAACAAAATACTGTGTATAAATTGCATTGACTCAAGCATCATTGCGATATGTAAAAGCATGTAATTACAGTGGATACAATCATTATTTTGTGTATGTGTGTGTGTAATAAATATTTATAATCTATCCCAAACAA